CTTGCCCCAGACCGAGAGTTCCTATCCTTACCTTGTGGCTCATAGCCACCGATGGACTTCTGCTCCATTTTTTTGTTGTTGTTCAGTCGCACAGTCGAGTCCGACTCTTCGTGACCCCATGGACCAGCTCCCGCCAGGCCCTCCTGTCTTCCGCCGTCCTCTGACGTTTGCTCAATTTCATGTTCGTTGCATCTATGACACTGTCTAACCATCTAATCCTTTGCCGTCCCCGTCTTCTTTGACCTTCAATCTTTCCCAGCATCAGGGTCTTCTCCAGTGAGTGCTCCTTTCTCATTTGGTGGCCAAAGTATTTGAGCTTCAGTTTCATTATCTGGCCTTCCAGGGAACAGTCAGGGTTGATTTCTTTTAGGATTGACTGATTTGATCTTCTTGCAGTCCAAGGGACTCTCAAGAGTCTTCTCCAGCACCATAGTTCAAAAGAATCTATTCTTCGGCGCTCAGCCTTCCTTATAGTCCAACTCTCGCAGCCATACATGACTACTCCATATGCTTGTCTAATTCCCTCTTGGAGCCGTCCATGCTTGTAGCCGCCACCACCACCTCCTGTGGCAGTGAATTCCATGTGTTAATCACGCTTTGGGTGAAGAAGGACTTCCTTTTATCTGTTCTAACCCGACCGCTCAGGAATTTCATGGAGGGCCCACGGGTTCTTGTATCATGAGAAAGGGAGAAAAGCTTTCTCTACCTGCTCTATCCCAGGCATAATCTTATAAACCTTGATCATGTCACCCCTCAGCCATCGTTTCTCCAAGCTAAAGTCTGGGACCTGTGGCAGCGGTGACTGTTTCCCTCTTGTGTTTTCTGCCCCCTTCAGGGTTTGGCGGCAGCGGCTCTCAGGTGGACTCTGCCCGCATGAACCTGGCTTCGTCTTTTGTGAACGGTTTTGTGAACGCCGCCTTCGGGCAGGATAAGCTGCTGACGGATGACGGCAACAAATGGCTGTATAAGAACAAGGACCACGGTGAGGTGGGGAAGGGGGGCAGCTGATCTGCTCCTGGGGGTCTGGCAGGGAAGGTCAGTAGGGCTGGGATTTATCTGGTGCCGAAGCCTAGCCGAGGGGCACGCTGGAGGGGAACTAGTGGTGGGTAAGACCAAGACAAAAAAAAGGTCATGTTCTGTAATGTGAGAGCCAGTGTGGTGTAGTGGTTAAGAGTGGCGGACTCTAATCTGGGAGAACCAGGTTTGATTCCCCCACTCCTCCACATGCAGCTGCTGGTGTGACCTTGAGGCAGTCACAAGTTCTCTTAGAGCTGTTCTCTCAAGGGCAGTCCTCGAAAGAACTCTCTCAGCCCCACCAACCTCACAGCGTGTCTGTTGTGGGGAGGGGAAGGGAAGGGGATTGTAAGCCGCTCTGAGACTCCGAGTGAAGAGCGGGGTATAAATCCAGCTCTTCTTCTAATGCTCATCTGCTGAGTTAGTCATGGAGGTAACAACTGAGTGATGGGCTTCTTCCCTTGGCTACAGTGACTGTGGCGTTCTGGCTCCCTGGTAATAAAGGCAGAGGTGCTGCTACTGCTGGTATCCCAGAGTGCTCTGGGGCACAGACGTGGCCAATAGCATTCTCCCAGGTTCACTGGCTGGTTCAGAGCCAAAGTGGATGGGATCTGATGGTGGGGAGCCCTATCCTTGTGTCTGCTCCGTTCACATAAAAAGCTGAAGGTTTGTTACAGCAATAGCTAGTTGCAAGTGAATAATTTGAATCCAGGGGCATCTTTAAGACCAACATATAAGCATCTGTGTGTATGCATGCTGCTTCAGATATATGCGCGTGAAAGCTTATACCCAGAACTAAATTTTGTTGGTCTTAAAGGTGCCGCTGTGACTGGACTCATCCTAAACCCATAAACAGTCTTCTTCAGTGGCCACTAGGAAATGGTGCCAATTCATGAAGGTACATGTGTATATTTTTATAAGTAAAGGTCAAGGTTTCCCTTGCTTGGAAGCCAGTTGAATCCGACTCTAGGGATGTGGTGCTCATCTCCGTTTCCAAGCTGAAGACCCAGTGCTGTCTGAAGACGCTTCCATGGTCATGTGACTGGCATGACTACACGCCGAGGCGCACGGAACGCTGTTACCTTCCCACCGAAGTGGTACCTATTTGTCTGCTTGCTGTTTCTTGCTTTCGAACTGCTAAGTTGGCAAGAGCTGGGGCCAGAGACAGGAGCTCACTCTGTCACGCGGCACACTCGGGTCTCAAACTGCCATACTACAGACTTTCCAGTCTGCAGCTTCAGCGTCTTAACATCTGAGACACCATGGTCTCCTGTATATTTTTATACTTACATAGATACACACACACACAAACTCAGGATACTTACAAGGGGGGGGATCCCTCCTTCCACCACCACTGCTGATTCCCTCCGGAGGACGTCGGCTGCTGCTCTGGGCCAGTTTGGTGTAGTGGTTAAGTGTGCGGACTCTAATCTGGGAGAACCGGGTTTGATTCCCCACTCCTCCACTCGCACCTGCTGATGTGACCTTGGGTCAGTCACAAGCTCTGGCACAGCTGTCCTTGAAAAAGAGCAGTTTGTGTCAGAGCTCTCTCAGCCCCACCCACCTCACAGCGTGTCTTTTGTGGGGAGGGGAAGGGGAAGGAGTTTGTAAGCCACTCTGAGACTCCAAGTGAAGGGCGGGGTATAAATCCAACCTCTTCTCTTCTTCTTCTTCTTCTGGGTCCGGCCATAGCGGCAGAGGATGCTCAGCAGCTGGACTCCTCTGCAGCTGTGGCCAAGCCCACTGTGGCTGGGCTGGGGCAGCTACCGGTGCGTTCCTCTGCTGCCGCCGGGCCCGGAGGAGCACCCGCCGGAGTCCTCCACCACAGTAGCTGGGTCGGACCATCTGCCGGTGGGGCTCGTGGGCTGGACTACTGCCGCCAAACCAAGCGCGGCTCCCCTGTTCCGCTGCTGGCCACCGAGATAAGCGCAGAGAGCGCTGCTTCAATTTTCAGGGGGGGTGGCCCCCCCCCCCCCCCCCCCCCACCGTGTATTATTACTTTTTTAAATTTCAGATTTTTTTCCCTGCAAACACGGGGGAGTGCCCTGAGTGGGCAGCGAAATCTCTTTAGCCTCCACACGGCCCCGATCTGTGGACTTAGATATCCGCAGATGGTGGCCGCGGGTGGAAAGAGCTCGAAAGTGAAATCCGCAAATGGGGGGGAGAGAATCGGAGGGAGGGAGGGAAGGAGGGAGACAGAAATCAGGCAGATGGATTGAGAGAGAGAAGAGCTGGAAAGGGGAGATCCGCAGAAGACACTGCAGGGGGAAAGGCTCAAATTGCAGTGTACTTACCTGGAAGTTTTACTGCACTCAGTCAGACTTCCAAGTAAGTGTGCTGATGACAGGGGGGCAGAGGTGGCGGTAGGAGGAAAAGAGCAATGGACAGGCAGATGGGAGAAGCTGGGAGGGCTGGAGGCAGAGAGGGGAGGGAGGGGTGGGGGGGGGGGGGGGGGATGGAGGAGACGGAGCTCTTCCCCCCCCCCCCGCGAGTATCGCGGGTCCCCCTCTTGTATTGTATATTATCAATATATCAAGAGTACAAAAGGTCAAGAGTATAAAGAGGTTTCCCCCCTTTGATTTTATTAATCCTTGCATCTTCTGCTTTAAAAAATAAAATTGAAAAAGAGGCTTTTCTCAAGAGTGTATCAAGAGTATAAGGAGATTTTTCTCCTTTGATTTTGTTAATTTTTCCTTGTATCTTCTGCTTTAAAAAGAAAAGGGGAAAACAGGCTTTGTTCACGAGTGTATCAAGAGTATAAAGAGGTTTTTCTCCTTTGATTTTATTAATTTTTCCTTGTATCTTCTGCTTTAAAAAGAAAGGGGAAAGAGAGAGGCTTTTTTCGGGCTTTTAATCGGCCACAAATGGCTGATGGGGGCACGTGTGGCTCAGCGACAGACTTCAGAATGAACGGGGGGCTGCTCAGTGTGGACAGTGTCCAAGGGGGGCTGTGGCCACAGCCTGCATTCTGGTTCTGACCTAAGGAACGTCTTTCCTTGTGTACCGCAGGGATGCTGAGCGCTGCAGCGTCTCTGGGCATGATCCTATTATGGGATGTTGATGGGGGGCTCACGCAGATCGACAAGTACCTGTATTCTTCTGAAGACTACATCAAGGTGAGCGGCCCCGGTCGCGAGCGTCAGTATAGCGGCAACTAATACATCTAGTGAGGCGAGACTTATTCTTCCGTCAAGTGCCAGTGCTGCCTTTGACAAATTGTGTGAACTGGGATTTTCATTAGATGATAACCTATTTAATTACTATTCTTACTTAGCAAATATAATAAAAGCCAGTGTGTACAAAACATGTCACGATAGACGGAATCACACAGCGCTCAAGGAACAAAACAAAATTTGAAGTCCCCGACGATGGACAGAAAGTGCCGCACCCAAGAATTTACAGACACAGTAATTTACTGTAAATTAGATAAAGGTAAAGGTTCCCTTGCTCGAAAGCCAGTCGAGTCCGACTCTAGGGTTGCTGTGCTCATCTCCGTTTCAAAGCCGAAGAGCCAGCGCTGTCCGAAGACGTTTCCATGGTCATGTGGCCGGCATGACTAAACACCAAGGCGCACGGAACGCTGTTACCTTCCCACCGAAGTGGTACCTATTGATCTACTTGCAATTTCTTGCTTTCGACCTGCTAGGTTGGCAGGAGCTGGAACTAGAGACGGGAGCTCTCTCCATCACGCGGCACACTCGGGTCTCGAACTGCTGAACTACCGACCTTCCACAGCGTGCAGTTCAGCGTCTTAACCACTTGAGCCACCGCAGCTCCACTGTAAATTAGTCACTTGGGGAAACAATAGTTCCCTAAAGAAACAAGCCACTTCACTCCAGCTCCGGGAAGGGGAGAGCTGCCAGAGTAATTTTAAATGTAAGCTCTGAAATGTGTCAGTCAGTCAGTCTTTGGAAGGTGAATAGGAATGTCCCCACACCTCATTAGAAAGTCTGTCAAGTCCATCAGGTTTTCTCAGAGAGCGGCAGCTAGTGTCTTTGGCAGGTGTGCAGTCTGGAAGTGTTGCTGTGGTCTTTCTGTAGCCGACACGTCAGCCCATCCGCACAGTAACGTTGCTGGAAGATCTCCAAACCATGAGACCCTTTCTTTCGGTGTTTGGTGCACACTCGGACTTCCTGAAGGACGGGTTTGCAAATCTCGGACCAGAAGTGAGCACAGCACGGCCCCGAAGCCCAATCCGTGGAGCGAAGGCAGACGGCACCTTCTCGGCCTTTCAGATAGTGTAGCTGTGATGACGACGTGGTCCTTTGGGGGACGCAAGTCTAAAGTGCCATGGTCAAAGTTCTCTAGCACGGTCTCCTCGATATCCCCAGGGTGGAAGTGACCATGTTCTGATGGCATACACATTCCGTTATTGCACCGATTGCCCGGGCAGCACATGGCGTCGCGGAGGCAGCGCTTGCGGCGTCTCCGACAGGCGAGGCGGACTTGGCTTCCGTGGAGGCCTCCGCGGCCTGAGACGGAGCAGAACTCGTCGGCCTTGCAGTCCTCGTCCCCACCGCACACGGAAGGCTGGGGCGCATTGACGGCTGGGTGCTTGTTGCCTAATTACTATTCAGATCACCTACTGAAAACAATAACAGAAGCAATTTTGTCACATGACTGGTCTGGGTTACCTGCTGATTCATACAGGAAAGGTTCTCCTTTGTGTTATGGCCGTATCCCCTACAACTTCCTTTGCAGTTGCTAATTATTTGGCTGCTATTAAAAATGCCAAACACAGACGTTTAATTCTTTTGGCAAGAGGTAATTCGCTCCCAACAGCCAAATAACACAGGAAGGCTGAAGGGTATTCCCTGGCTTGACAAAAAATTGTTCTTGTGCATCTGGAGCAACAGAGACGATCTCACACGTGCTGTTAACATTGTTTATTGAAGCTAGGCCTGATATACTGGGATCTCTGGTCAACTCAGACGTTCAGGGCTCTAGTAATTAGGCTATTCTGGAACTGTTGTTTTCAAATGACGTGGCCTGGCTAGAAGCTGTTGCTAAATTTCTTGCATACATTTTAAAATGGCCTTAGTAATTATTGTTCTATTGATTTGCTCTGTTTCTGTTTTACCCCTAATCCCACCAACCTGTGGTTGCAGGGATTGAGAGTGAAATAAAGAAATATAGCTGCTGCATAGGGCCCCCTGGCTGCATCTGGAGCACTAGACAGGCTGCTTTAGGAGTATCAGAGGAACTGCTGTTGCCACGGGGATTCCCAGGGTCACCTTGCACCTGCTGAGAATTGTCAGTGGCTCATCCTTGCTAGAATTCTCAGAGATAGTTAATGGGCATCTTCGGGTCCCAGGGCACAAAGTTGCTTGATAACACTGAAAACTCTGCACTCTCTGATCATTCATGACCATGAAACACATTATAGCGCGTTAATGGTTGCCAGAAGTATTTACGTCTAAGCAAAGAACATAATTTGAAGACAAGTTGTGCCCCTCTCCAGTAAACAAAGGAATTCTCATTATCTGACGCTGTCGAGTGTTACGTAAAATGGTTCCTTCCAGAGGAATAGCGGTGTCACATCTGTTTTAGCAGAATAAAGCAGAAGTTGAATGGCTCCTTAAAAAATAACCGCATGTATTCCAGTATGACATTTTGAGAGTCAAGAACTCACTTCTTCAGTGAAGAGGAAATTGTTTTCCACGTAGTTATAAGGAGAGTGATAGAAGGGGAGAGAAGGGAGCTTGTTACAAAACAAGGAAGAAGCCGTCTGCGGCGTAAGAAAGATGACATCAGTAAGGGGTTATAGTTAGGATGCAACATGCTGAGGTCAGCCCTTTACTGTAGCTTCAGAGCGGGTTCTGATGAGCTCTTAGAAGCTGTCATTCAACCCCTTAGCTTGAAGCTCAGATCCTAGAGTTGGTGAGGTTTCCTCGTAATACAGAGGTGTGCTTTTGGTGTAGGTGACTTCCCTATTTAGTTGAGGCAGCGGGCATCCGAATTCCCATTCTTGGCCTCCAGTGCTGACAGCCCTAGTCTAGTTAGTGGCTCGACACCTTACAACAGCGCCCAGAAGGTTTCCATCCGAGCATTGCCACCGAGGCAACTTTGACTCTGGTTCTTTTATACGAAAATTCTGAACGTTTTATCAACCTTAAATTTTAATTGTTGGATTTTATGCGTTGTTTTACTGTCACAGTATCCCGTGTGGCTTTGTAAGCTGCCCTGAGCCCGCTCGTGGGGAGGGCAGGATTGAAGCCTAATAAATAAATTCCCCCTTTTGTGAGAATGCCTCCGTTCAGGACCCAGTGCCAGGCACTCACAATCCTGGCCAGCGTTAAAAGTTGAGACTGTTTTGGTTTTTATGACCCAGTGCCAGGCACCCACAATCCTGGCCAGCGTTAAAAGTTGAGACGGTTTTGGTTTTTATGACCCAGTGCCAGGCACCCACAATTCTGGCCAGCGTTAAAAGTTGAGACTGTTTTGGTTTTTATGACCCAGTGCCAGGCACCCACAATCCTGGCCAGCGTTACAAGTTGAGACTGTTTCGGTTTTTATGACCCAGTGCCAGGCACCCACAATCCTGGCCAGCGTTACAAGTTGAGACTGTTTTGGTTTTTTTGGTCCTGCAGTCAGGGGCGCTCCTGGCCTGCGGTATCGTGAACTCTGGGGTGAGGAACGAGTGCGACCCAGCTCTCGCGTTGCTCTCCGACTACGTCCTCCACAACAGCAACATCATGAGGATCGGGGCCATCTTTGGGTAAGGGCCTGCTTGGACTTGCTTTCCGTTCCGCACGGGGGGTGGCTTACGTTGGGGTCCCCAACCTTTTGGGGGGTCCTGGTCACCTTTGGAATTTTGACACGAAGGGGTGGGTGGAGCCACAGAATGGCTGCCGCAAAAAGGCTCCCGCAGGAAGCGAAGCCGGCCCACAAAATGGTTCCAGCGACTTACGTTCAGTCCAGCAATGAAGATCCTTGTGCCGTGGTGACAGTCGCTAAGCAAAACGACTTTTTAAAAAAATCCGATTAGATCTCCAATGGCCAATCAGCAGTCCTGCTGAAAGCCTTACCCGGCCCCACCCACTTTCTTAAAGAGATGGGGCCCACGGTCACCACGTTGGGGACCTCCGTCTGACGTACTACTCAGGCTCCACGGTGCTTTCTTGCAGGCTAGGGCTGGCGTACGCCGGCTCCAACCGAGAGGATGTCCTGACCTTGCTTCTTCCCGTGATGGGAGATTCCAAGTCCAGCATGGAGGTGAGGGAGAGACGCCGGAGCGGTCTTGCGCTTGGCTTGGCGGCCTTGCGGGTGGTAATCTCGGGTGGGATGTGGGGAAGGAAGCCAAAGCTGAGCTCTGTGCTGTAGCTTGGAGTTCTGTCTTCTGGGAAAATACAGGGGGCTTGGGGAAAGGTTTTATGCTGCAGGCAAGGCTCCCTCTGAGCTGTGGAGTGTTATGAGCAAAAATTCTACTTCGTGAGCTACTGGCATGAAAGGTGTGAGCGAGCGATTTGGCTGCTGCATCAGTTAGTTTGCTCTGGAGCCCATCCTTCCTGGGCTAGGACAAAAATGTGTGAGCCGGAGGCGAAAAAACTGTGAGCTAGCTCACACTCAGCTTAGAGGGAGCACTGGCTGCGGGTTTGGGCTGTATTCTTCATTTCCCCTTAACTACACACAAGAAGTCACATATGCAGTTGTCTCATACCGAGACTTACCCTTGGTCCATCAAGGTCAGTGTGGTCTATTCAGACTGTCAGTGGCTCCCCCAGGGTCTCACGCAAAGGCCTTTCACGTCACCTGCTGCCTGGTCCTTTCAACTGGGCACGACGGGGATTGAACCTGGGACCTTCCGCATGCCAAGCTGGTGCGCCACCACTGAGCCACGGGCCCTCCCCAAAAACATACACAGGAAGCTGCCTTATACTGACTCAGACACTGGTCCATCAAGGTCAGTATTGTCTACTCTGAGTGGCAGTAGCTGTCCAAGCTCTCAGGTAGAGGTCTTTCCGTGCACTGCTGCCCGGTCCTTTCAGCTGGAGGGGCCAGGAGTTGAACCTGACAGATTCTGCATGCCGAGCAGGGGCTCTACCACTGAGTCAGAGCCCCTCCCCTGTCAAAAATAGAAACGTGACCCAAAGAAGTACTCTAGGCACAAAAGATTTAGAAAACATTCACTTAAAACCACACTACAGTCTGTTCTTATTACTTTTTTGGACTCGTGCCCAATGCTCCCTTCTAAGCTGCGGAGTCTTGTGAGCAGACATTCTACTTTGTGAGCTCCTGGCGTGAAAGTTGTGAGCGAGCGATTTGGCTGCTGCATCAGTTCGTTTGCTCTGGAGCCCTCCCTTCCTGAGCTGAGACAAAAATGTCTGCGCCGGAGGCGGAAAAACTGTGAGCTGGCTCACGCTAACTCAGCTTAGAGGGAACACTGCTCTGGCCCTCCTTGCCTACTTATTTTATTTATTTATTTGTTTATTATTTATTTAAATTTATAACCCGCCCTCCCCGCGAACGGGCTCAGGGCGGCGTACAGATGGGGCCAATGCCCAATACATAAAACATTAAAACGGCATTTTTAAAAGATTCAATACAGCATATGTGCTCTCCACAATATCTAACAAGGGAACAGATGACGTCATCAGGATGGTATCCTTAGTGGCCACAGCTCCACGCAGTACCACCATTTTAGCGCTCGCGGCGAGTTGGTAATAAAGGGCTAGGACAGATAGTAATAGTCGTAGACAGATAGTAACAGTCGTGGCGGCTCCTACTCAAACTTAATCTTGATTTGAGGCATGCTGTACACAATTTTAAGTCCAAACAATGATCAGACTTCGGGGAGGGGCCCTGACCTGCATAGCCCAGGCAAGCCCGATCTCGTTCGATCTCAGACGCTCTGCAGGGCCGGCCCTGGCAAGTACTTGGATGGGAGACCTCCAAGGAATACCAGGAGTGGGATGCAGAGGCAGGCGATAGGAAGCCACCTCTCTGAAATGTCCAAGCCCCACTAGGGGTCACCAGAAGTCAACCACGACTTCCAGCCACACACACACACACACACACAAAGACTGGAGCCAATTGGACAAAGAGTCGAGCTGCCTCGTTCGAGTCCTGTGGGGGCCGTCTGCTGGAAAAGAGCCGCTACTGCAGAAAAATCCGTACTTCAATACTGGACATCTTCGCCCTCGAGGAAAGCACCACCATCGAATCCACCGTCGAATCCAAGAAAGATCCTGCTGTTAGGTGCCTGGTTAGGAAAAAATACCCCTCCCCTCACCATTGTACTCCCAGCTTAGATATTGTGTGACTGTAAACCGCTCTGAGCCTCATGGATAGGGCGGTATACAATGTTCCCTCTAAGCTGTGGAGTCTTGTGAGCAAAAATTCTACTTTATGAGCTACTGGCATTAAAGTTGTGAGCAAGTGATTTGGCTGCTGCATCAATTAGTTTGGAGCAGAGACTAGTTTGCTCCTTCCTGAGCTAGGACAAAAATGTGTGAGCCGGAGGCTAGCTCACACTAACTCAGCTTAGAGGGAACACTGGCGGTATATAAATCGCAAATGTAATGTAATGTAACAGATTACTCACCAAAAAAACCTTTCAATGAAGGGACTAAAACAACATGCAGCATGTCTTATACCTGAAAAACCGTCACCCCCCAAAAGGCTTCCCAATCACATTTCTTGGCTGTTCCTCAGATGCCATAAGAGACCGGATTTAAGCGGGCCTCCTAGGGCAAGGAGTTTGGCACGTGAGGCATCACTGAAAGGATTTGGTGTTTGGTGAGAGCCGGGGTCCTGAAGCTCGGGTCTTCTGCGTGCCATGCAGATGTTCTGCCACTGAGCCATGGCACCCTCCGTGTCATCTCTCTGCTCTCTGATGAATGACTGTGTTTCTGGAGAGGGCTCATAAGAGTATTGATGCAAACTGAACCCCCCCCCCCCCCAGGTGGCAGGCGTGACGGCCCTGGCCTGCGGAATGATCGCCGTGGGCTCGTGCAACGGAGACGTCACCTCCACCATCCTCCAAACCATCATGGAGAAGTCGGAGACAGAGCTGAAGGACACGTACGCCCGATGGCTGCCTCTCGGCCTTGGCCTTAACCATCTAGGTAAGCCCCGGGGCCGGTAAGTAGCTGCCAAACAGGCAATCACGTGGCGGTGAGGTGAGATCCAGTTCCTGGCTGGCTACACATGCTTGAGTGAAATCTACAGGTTAAGAGCATAAGAGAAGCCATGTTGGATCTTGCCAGTGGCCCATCCAGTCCAGCACTCTGTGTCACACAGTGGCCAAAACCCAGGTGCCATCAGGGTGTCCACTAGCAGGGCCAGAATTCCAGAAGCCCTCCCAGACAGAGTGTTCCATCTATCCCTTGTGGCTAATATCCACCGATGGGCCTCTGCTCCATTTGTTTATCCAGTCCCCTCTTGAAGCTGTCTGTGGTTGTAGCCACCGCCACTTCCTGTGGCAATGAATTCCACGTGTTAATGTCTCTTTGGGTGAAGACGGACTTCCTTTTGTCTGTTCTAAGCCTACTGCTCATTAGTTTCATGGAGTGCCCTCGAGTTCTTGTATTGTGAGAAAGGGAGAGAAAGGACTTCTTTCTCTACCTTCTCTGTCCCATGCATGATTTTGTAAAACTCTCATGTCATTTCTCCAGGTTAACGGGCCCTCGCCTCTTTAACCTTCATAGTCATTTTAGTTGACCTTTTCTGCACCTTCTCCATTGTGAGATGTCTTGAGCAGGAGCAATGCAGGCCTTCAGAGAGCCAGCAGTTTGGTGTAGTGGTTAAGTGTGCGGACTCTAATCTGGGAGAACCGGGGTATAAATCCAATCTTTCCTCCTCCTCCTCAAGTTTCAAGTATGTAGTTTCAAGTGCCAGCACTGAGAGCCAGTTTGGTGTAGTGGTTATGTGCGCGGACTCTAATCTGGGAGAACCGGGGTATAAATCCAATCATCATCTTCCTCCTCCTCCTCCTCCTCTTCTTCCTCTTCCTCTTCTCCCTCTTCCTCTTCTTCCTCTTCTTTATCTTCCTCCTCTTCCTCCTCCTCCTCCTCCTCCTCCTCTTCTTCCTCCTCCTCCTCCTCCTCCTCCTCTTGTCCTCCTAAAGTTTCAAGTATGTAGTTTCAGGTGCCAGCACTGAGAGCCAGTTTGGCGTAGTGGTTATGTGCGGGGACTCTAATCTGGGAGAACCGGGTTTGATTCCCCACTCCTCCACTTGCACCTGGCTGGATGACCTTGGGCAAGCCACAGTTCTGACAAGAGCTGTCGTTGAAAAAAGAGCAGTTTCTGTCAAGAGTTCTCTCAGCCCCACCTACCTCACAGGGGGTGTCTGTTGTGGGGAGGGGAAGGGAAAGGAGTTTGTGAGCCGCTCTGAGACACCTTTGGGTAGTGAAGGGCGGGGTATGAGCCCAATCTCCTCTCTTCTCTTCTTCTGACTGGCTGCCCCTTTATCCGACAGGGAAAGGCGAGGCCATCGAGGCGATCCTGGCAGCGCTACAGGTCGTATCGGAGCCCTTCCGTAGCTTCGCCAACACGCTCGTGGATGTCTGTGCCTACGCAGGTGGGTCTGGGCTCGACCCGGCATGGAGTGCTTTTGAGGCAGGGCGGGAGCAGGGTGTGTGGTAGGCGTGTCCCCTTTTTACTCGTGGGTCTTCCTCCAGGCTCCGGCAACGTGTTGAAGGTCCAGCAGCTGCTCCATATCTGCAGCGAGCACTTCGATTCCAAGGAGAAGGAGGAGGAGAAAGAGAAGAAGGAGAAAAAGGATAAGGAGAAGAAGGAGAACCCTGCTGACATGGGGGCCCATCAGGTAGGGCGAGACACACACATGAACAGCCTGGTACTGAATCAGACCATTGGTCCGTCGAGGTCACTGTTGTCTACTGGGTCTCAGGCTGAGGTCTTTCCCATCACCTCCTGCCTGGTCCTTTAACTGGAGATGCTGGGGACTGAACCTGGGAGCTTCTGCATGCCAAGTAGATGCTCTGCCACTGAGCCACAGCCCCTCTTTACAGCTCCCCAGGGTCTCAGGCTGAAGTCTTTCATATCACCAACTGCTTGGTCGTTCTAAGTGGAGATTCCGGGGATTGAATCTGGGACCTTCTGCATGCCAAGTAGATGCTCTGCCGCTGAGCCACATGCCCTCTTTAAAGCTCTCCAGGGCCTCAGGCTGAGGTCTTTCCCATCACCTACTGCCTGGTCCTTTAACTGGAGATGCCAGGGATTGAACCTGGGACCTTCTGCATGCCAGGCAGAGGCTCTTCCACTGAGCCACAGCCCCTCTTTACAGCTCTCCAGGGTCTCAGGCTGAGGTCTTTCCCATCACCAACTGCCTGGTCCTTTAACTGGAGGTGCTGGGGATTGAACCTGGGACCTTCTGCATGCCAAGTAGATGCTCTGCCGCTGAACCACATCCTCTCTTTACAGCTCTCCAGGGCCTCAGGCTGAGGTCTTTCCCATCACCTACTGCCTGGTCCTTTAACTGGAGATGCCGGGGATTGAACCTGGGACCTTCTGCATACCAGGCAGAGGCTCTTCCACTGAGCCACGGCCACTCTTTACAGCTCTCCAGGGTCTCAGGCTGAGGTCCTTCCCATCACCTCCTGCCTGGTCCTTTAACTGGAGATGCCGGGGATTGAACCTGGGACTTCCTGCATGCCAGGTAGAGGCTCTTCCACTGAGCCACAGCCCCTCTTTACAGCTCTCCAGGGTCTCAGGCTGAGGTCTTTCCCACCACCTCCTGCCTGGTCCTTTTAACTGGAGATGCCGGGGATTGAACCTGGGACCTCCTGCATGCCAGGCAGAGGCTCTTCCACTGAGCCACAGCCCCTCTTTACAGCTCTCCAGGGTCTCAGGCTGAGGTCTTTCCCACCACCTCCTGCCTGGTCCTTTTAACTGGAGATGCCGGGGATTGAACCTGGGACCTCCTGCATGCCAGGCAGAGGCTCTTCTACTGAGCCACAGCCCCTCTTTACAGCTCTCCAGGGTCTCAGGCTGAGGTCTTTCCCATCACCTCCTGCCTGGTCCTTTTTATTGGAGATGCCAGGGATTGAACCTGGGACCTCCCGCATGCTGAGCGGATGCTCCACCACTGAGCCACAGCCCCTCCCCAAACACATACACATGGATCTGCCTGATACTGAATCAGACCCTTGGCCCATCAAGGTCAGTACTGTCTACTCAGACTGGGGAAGTGGCTCTCCAGGGTCTCAGGCTGAGGTCGGTCTATCACCTGATCCGTTTAACTGGAGATGCCGGGGACTGAAGCAAGCAGATGCTCTGCCGCTGAGCCACAGTTCCTTGCATGCTCCTGTGGGAGGGAGCGGGAGCTTTTGGTATGACAGAAAAGGGTGTGGAGAAGCTGTGAAAAAAGGGAAGCGGGACTGGAAGCTTGTCAGTCCTGCCTTAAGGAAACTGGATTAATAGATTCGGATGGGTGGCCATGTTGGTCTGAAGCAATAGAACAAAGTTTGAGTCCAGTGGCACCTTTAAGACCAACGAAATTGACGAATCTGGGATTGTCCGATAGCCAGATTTGTGAAGTGTTAACTTTTACAACTGCACCACGGGGCGTTACAATGCTTAGAGAGCCAGTTTGGTGTAGTGGTTAAGTGTGCGGACTCTAATCTGGGAGAACTGGGTTTGATTCCCCACTCCTCCACATGCAGCCAGCTGGTGTGACCTTGGGTCAGTCACAAGTTCTCTCAGAGCTGTTCTCTCAAGAGCAGTCTTCAAAAGAACTTTCTCAGCCCCACCAACCTCACAGGGTGTCTGTTGTGGAGAGGGGAAGGGAATGGAGTTTGTAGGCCGCTCAGAGACTCCTTCAGGTAGTGAAGGGCGGGGTATAAATCCAATCTCTTCCCTTCTTCTTTTCTTAAATTCTTAACTGCTGTCTGTTCGTATGCAGTGCAATAGAATTTTGCAAAATACTGTTCTTAATTAATACATCGGAATAATACCCCAGAGATTGTTCTCTTTGGCTTTTTAGGGAAGTTCCCCAAAGTGTCCCCAAATCTAAAAAGGGGTTGGGATCCAGATGGTCGCGCTTGTCTTCAGAGCAAGTGGCCTTTGGTTTATACAAAAGCCTTTGGCTCTCACTTATTTATGTTATTTTTAGGTGAATCACACATTGTGAGTCAGTACAGTCAACAAAATGGGACATTTCAGTGAACAATGCACTAGGATTATAGACATGTGGAACCAAGCAGGAAGCTAAAAGATCGAACCACAGCATAGCATAAGGGGGTCAGACTAATGCAGATGAGATTGTTCCGCCGTGATGAAGCAATAATTGGAGTGACTCTGCTCAGTCGCCCCCACAAGCAGCTTCCTGCGCCCTCTTGCTTGTGGGCCAGATAGGAGCCCCGGACAGGCCGGTTCCGGCCCCCCGGGCCTTATATTTGACACCCCAGGGTAGGCAGTGGCAGATTACCCATTAAGCAGACTAAGCATGTGCTTAGGGCACCAGGGCCAAAGGGGGCAACCACAAAGTTGGGGAAAGGGTGAAAAGCTAGTGTGTACAGTATGTATTGTGTTATCATATGAATAAATTTTTGTATAGAAGAAGAAGAAGAGATTGGATTTATACCCCGCCCTTCACTACCCAAAGGTGTCTCAGAGCGGCTTACAAACTCCTTTCCCTTCCCCTCCCCACAACAGACACCCTGTGAGGTGGGTGGGGCTGAGAGAACTCTGACACAAACTGCTCTTTTTCAAGGACAGCTGTGCCAGAGCTTGTGACTGACCCAAGGTCACATCAGCAGGTGCAAGTGGAGGAGTGGGGGAACCAAACCCGGTTCTCCCAGATTAGAGTCCACGCACTTAACCACTACACCAAACTGGCTGCAACCTGCATTGTATATCTGGTCAGACAGGTCAACAACTAAAATGGACTGGGTCCCTGTGGAAAGGAGGGGGGCACCAAGATTGGTCAGCGCTTAGGGCACCCGTGAGCCTTAACCCGCCCCGAGTGTAAGGTTTTCCAGGCCAGAGGTTTGCGATTGCTTGCCACTGCGTCACGACCCTGGTATCCCTTGGAGGTCTCCCATCCAAATACTAGCCTGGAACGACCCTGCGTCGCTTCGAAGATCTGGCGAGACCGGGTTAGCCTGGGCCATCCAGGTCATGGCACAGTAAGCTGTGCATGACAGTATAGACCAGCCCCTAATCATTTATCCAAGGAAGTTTGTAAGCCATTTTGTACATTGCAACCCATGCTCCCTCTAAGCTGTGGAGTCCTGTGAGCAAAAATTCCCCTTTGTGAGCTACTGGCATTAAAGTTGTGAGCGAGTGATTTGGCTACTGCATAAATCAGTTTGCTCTGGAGCAATGCTCCCTCTAAGCTGAGGAGTCTAGTAAGCAAAAAAAGTGTACTTTGTGAGCTACTGGCATTAAAGTTATGAGTGAGTGATTTGACTGGTGCATAAATCAGTTTGCTCTGGAGTCATCCTTCCTAAGCTGAGACAAAACTGTGAGCTGGAGGCTAAAAAACTGTGAGCTAGCCCATACAAACTCAACTTAGAGGGAACACTACTCTGGAGCCATCCTTCCTGAGCTAGGACAAAAATGTGTGAGCCGGAGGCTAAAAAACTGCGAGCTAGCTCACACTAACTCAGCTTAGAGGGAACACTGCCTGTGAGGGAGGTGGGGCTGAGAGAGCTCTTGACAGAAACTGCTCTTTTTCAAGAACAGCTCTTATCAGAGCTACGGCTTGCCCAAGGTCATCCAGTCAGGTGCAAGCGGAGGAGTGGGGAATCAAACCCGGTTCTCCCAGATCAGAGTCCGCGCACTTAACCACCACACCAAGCTAGGCTCCAATGTTCCCTCTAAGCTGAGTGAGTGTGAGCCAGCTCACAGTTTTTTACCCTCCGGCTCACACATTTTTGCCTTGGCTCAGGAAGGAGGGCTCCAGAGCCAACTGGTTTATGCCACAGCCCAATCGCTCGCTCACACCTTTAACGCCAGCAGCTCACAAAGTAGAACTTTTGCTCACAAGACTCCGCAGCGTAGAGGGAGCCTTGCTTAGCTCCCCTTTCTTTCCCGCTCTGTGTTCTGACTGTGACTTCGACAGTGGGTAGCAACGCCCGACGTGTCAGAAGCAGAGCGGCGCTATCGCTGCCAATTGCAACTTTGGTTTTTGTACGTCGCAATCATAGAATATACAGGCCTGCTCATCCATAGGCTGGTCAAAGTTATTGGGGGAGGGAGGTGTCCACAAGCAGAAATATTCTGAGTAGCTGAATACTTGTGCGTGTGTTTGGAGTGGGTGGGAGACGAATATTCCAGGGGGAAACGCTTTTTCTCCAAAGCAGACCCTGGGTGTGGCTTTGAGGGGCGCCAGATCCAGGCCAGTCAATTGTGTCCGTGTCACAAAGTCCCTCGCAGTTTCAAACATGCCTCTTTTTCCCCCCTCGCAGGGCGTAGCGGTGTTGGGGATCGCGCTCATTGCCATGGGGGAAGAGATCGGGGCGGAGATGGCTCTGCGCACCTTTGGTCACCTGGTGAGTCTGGTGCTTTGTCCGTGGAGGGCGGGGGCAAGGATATCGGAACAGTCCCGTGTAGCTGTGTCGGACAGTAAAAATCAGCAGAACGGATACAAGGAAGTCCTTCTTCACCCAAAAAGTGATTAACACGTGGAGTTCACTGCCACAGGAGGGGGAGGCGGCTACAAGCATGGACGGCTTCAAAAGGGAATTAGATAAACATATGGAGCAGAGGTCCATCAGTGGCTATTAGCCACAAGGTATAGATAGGAACTTTCCGTCTGGGGCAGGTGATGCTCTGTATTCTTGGTGCTTGGGGGGGGGGCAACAGTGGGGGGGCTTCTAGTGTCCTGGCCCCACTGCTGGATGGGCTACTGGCCTGAACCAACATTGGCTTCTCTTATGTTCTTAAAAATGCCTCTTCATCCAGCCCTGGTGAGGCAAGGCTATCTGTGTGCTAATCCCCATAAACAGTTTGCCAGAGGGAAGTGCTGTTCCATCCAACAGTTCACGCGAAGCCACAGGTGCTGAGCCGTGGAATGAGAGCCAGGGGCCAAAAGCTGCACCTCTGGCCGGCTTTGGCTGCCCCCTTGTAAACAAGAGGGGGAATCATCTCACCCCAGATCATACTCAGCTGCTGCTACCACCAAGATGTTAGTGTAGCGCAGGGCTTATCCACCTGTTCTTCAATGAGAGCTACTTCTGAGTAATGAAGAATATCCTGAGCTCCTCTGCAGGTCACCAAGTTCTGTTCTGTCCTAAAAACACGGGGGATAGACCAGGAAGGAACCCAGAAACGTAAGCTATTGGCTAAGCAGCATAAAATAAAATAAAAGCTCTTTGAGGTGAAGCCTAGAGCAGGTCTCCTGGTGATCTGTTTTGAAGAAGAAGAAGAAGAGATAGGATTTATACCCCACCCTTCACTACCCGAAGGAGTCTCAGAGCGGCTGACAAACTCCTTTCCCTTCCTCCTCCCCACAACAGACACCCTGTGAGGTGGGTGGGGCTGAGAGAGCTCTGACAGAAACGGCTCTTTTTCAAGGACAGCTCTTGTCAGAACTATGACTTGCCCAAGGTCATGCAGCCAGGTGCAAGTGGAGGAGTGGGAAATCAACCCCGGTTCTCCCAGATTAGAGTCCGGCGCACTTAACCCCTATACCAAACTGGCCGTTTTGGTGTGTTTCTCAACTCGTAGGTCACAAGGTCTGTGCAAGTGGGTTCCAGACTTTTGTCATTTTGTTAATTTGCGCAGGCTGTATGTCTTTTTTTAAAAAGTGGCTCACCACACCAAAAAACCTGGGAGCCGCTTGTCCAGGGGATGCAAGAGATTTTTTTACAGCCCCGTCAGTGAGCTACCAGTACCTCACGAGCTGCCTGATGGAGACCCCTGTTGTGCCAAGATGCCAGGAGACCTTCTGCATGCAAAGCATGTGCTTTACCCCCAGATTGCATCCGAAATATTGTTAGGATTCATGTTTGCACCTTCCTGCGTGCTGTGATATGGAAATTGTGAGCCAGCTTGGTGCAGCGGTTAAGAGCGCAGACTCTGATCTGGGAGAACCGGGTTTGATTCCCCACTCGTCCACATGCAGCTGCTGGTGAGACCTTGGGTCAGTCACAAGTT